CGCTCAACAACTGCATATCGCTTTGCAGTTTGGCATAAACGCCACTGAACTGGCTGTGCGGAGGTCAAACTAAGCTGTTGTAGGTGAAGGAGAAGCATTCTTTCGCGGTTAGTCGGCATAGAAGAAAGGCGTCTGCTGTGAATGAGTGGTTTGGTGGAGCCACCGACCTTAGACAGCTACACTGCTCACCAGTAATGCAATGTAGTTAAACCCACTTTATCCTACATAAAGGCGTACTTTCAGCATCCACTGCCAAAGCCGATCTATCTCTGTGATGGAATGAGGTAAATTCCTGCGTAATGATGGTACATTGATAATACTTTTGCATTCGTATAACTGCGCAGAATTTGAAGTCACAGTGGGCTGTGTTTTGTTTCGAATTCGTTTATCCACCCATATATATTCATCTGTCCATCCATCCACTCAGATTTTATCTCTTTATCCGTCCCGTATCCATTCCCTGTCGGTCAGCCTCGTATCCATCTTTCTGTCCATTCACCTATTCACTAATTTATCCATCCTCATATCCATTCATTCCTTATAAATTCATTTATCCATCCCATGGCCACCCGTTACGTATCCCTCCATCCATCCGACCATTCGTCCATTCACCAGTCCATACACTCATCCTTCCAATATCGAACCAACCAACTAATCCGTCCATTTACCCATCTGTTCATCCATACATTCACCCATTCATCCATCCACATTCAAATTATCTATTCCCTATCCATTCATTTGCCCATTCGTCGTACCTTGTGTACACGATGAAATTGCTGCACTTTTTAAATTGTTTTGGAATATTTTATGTTTCATTTGGCCGCGAAAGGGATTTATGACTTTTCTTCCTAATTTTCTTTCTTTTTTGCTGCATTGCTTTCCAAATTTGGGTTGTGGGTGGAGGAAATTCACTCATTGGGTTTTGTACCAAAACGAATAGCCTACGAGTGGAAACCGTAAAATCTGTATTCTCTGCATTTAGCTTGATTAATTATATCGTGGGAATTCTTTCCTACCCACTCTCTAAAACTCATCCATTTATATCTGCGTGCCTGTGCACTCGTTTTAGATATTCCTTCCATGCCATTTGAACAGATAGGCGTCTCAAACCTCCACCCAATAAGGCGTGGGAGATATCCTGTGCATGATTTTACTTTGTAACCTAAGGTACTCATTGTTTCTGGTTTCAAGGGAACGGATATACTATGCAACCTGAACCACGATGATTACCGCCAAGCCGTGAAAATTATGGAAAAGGCGATTTTGGCTACCGATTTGTCTCGCTACTTCGTCAAACTACCGCAGTTTCGACAAATCCTCGACGAACGCATCTCCGCAGTGGGTGAAGAGAAGTCTATGGATGATATTGCGATAAAAACAGTGTGGCAGACCGAGGCATCCAACCGCGAGCTACTCATGTGCATGCTGATGACTGCGAGTGATGTCTCTGCTAGCACCAAACCCTGGCCTGTACAGAAGAAGGTTGTCAAGTTTGCTCGACAACTTATCTTTATTTTTTTTTTCATTTAAGTGCTTATGATAACGGAGGAGTCTTTTACTGTTTTTAGTCTGCGGAACTGGTTGCCAATGAGTTCTTTGAACAGGGCGACTTTGAACGCCAGAAACTCAACATCAAACCAGATGTAGGTTTTCGTTTGGAGTATAAATTGTCTTCATTCCTGTGAATAGGCCGTGATGGATCGAGAACTGATTCACCGGTTCCCGCAAATGCAAATCGAATTTATCGACACGATCTGTGCTCCTGTCTACGAGGTAAGCGAGGAAAAGGCAGTTTTTCGAGGGACGTTCGAATGGCCTTCATAATTGATACTTCGGCATACGCGCTCATAAGGGCTCCTCAACTGTCAAGGTCAAGAGTTAAAAAAACTCCCACAGCCGGCGGTGTAGATCAGACCTTGGCTAAAAATCGCAGACAAATCAGTAAGAATATAATTGGCGGAGTGCGAGCGAAATTGCCACCACCAGGATTGTCACTGAAAAAGCTAGTTAATGGACACGTTAGAATTTTGGCCGCAAGTCAGCCTTTTAATGGTTAAGCGTAAGAAAGCGAGGCCCTTAACTGGGATGGCTTGGCTTGTGCGAGCGGATGTAGATTCTTCCGTGTTGTTTTGGAGTAGTACGTTCTGGTGGACAAAAACTTTGCACCGTCGCAAACCATCACACGGTTGCATCCATTCATTCACACCGACGCCCGCAGGCAGTCACTGAAGTGGATTGGACTAAGGTGAGTTGGCCTGAAACATGTGCGATGGCCAATGCAAGTAGAGCTACGAAAACCACTGTCACCGCCACGGCGTGAATTTAAGAGGGCCGCTTTGGTTCGATCATCTCTCCCGTCTCTAAATTTATTGTAAGTCAGGAATGATAGGAAAGTGTTGTTAATTGTTGCAGCTGATTTCTCGAGTGTGCGCTCGACTTCGACCGCTACTAGAGGGCTGTTTGGCAAATCGGGACTGTTGGAATAGCCTTGCGAAGGGGGAAACAGTGAAGGCTGAGTCCATGCGTTTACCCAGCGATGCAGAAGGCGCCGATGCCAGTTATCGCGACAGGTTGATGGCCCTGCTTCACGCTCCGCCTTCTAATACTGGTGTTTCTTTAGAAGGCGGTCTTACTGTCCCAGCGGCACCAAATCCGAATGCAGCTCATGCAGCCGATTTTTCTACCTCCTCAGTAAAGTCGACAATTTGTGCTGAGGAAGCTATTGCCACTACCTCCTCTACTACCGTAGGCGGTGGTACAGCACCTTGAAATACTTCTCCTCCCCCTTCTCCAACTTCTTTCATTCAACTACATGAATGGACATTAACCCTGTGATATTTCCTCTTTATTTAAATCAAGAGAGTGAGAAACCTGTGCAGAATTATTGGTCTAGGTCTGCATACAATCAGATAAAAGTTTGTGTGGAATAAATAAATGCAATCGTCAGAGAAAGTTTCTCGCTTGTTTTAGTTTGAGAGATTTTTTGCCCATTCAACTTTGAACAGGGAACAGTTATCATGGTAGAAATGTAATAAGTAAGTTTACTGAGTGTTTACCAAAGGCAGACTTGACTACAACCGCCCCTCCATAGAATCGCCGTAAATTTAATCATTACCAAAAGTTGGGGACTTCCACATATTTACCGTCGATTGATTGTGGTGAGTGCGACTTCACGGTGAGCGGAGATAGCATCAGGTTTTGGTTGGCTGAGCAATTGTTTCTACTTTACTACTTCAATGAGATCACACGAATTGCGACCGCTTCTATCGCACTGTCTTTACCCGAAGCTGCTAGTCAGTTCCTAGAACTACGTCTGTGCCTTGCACACTTCCAGTAATTGTTTGACTAGGCGTACTTGCAATATGAAAAGTTTGCATGGAATAAGGGCACGTGATTAACTACTGCAGCATCTCCACGCTTACGTCAATTAGGGCGGTTCTGATTCCTTCAATTGCGAACAGGTAATTAGTATCATTGCAGAAATAGCTTAAGCATCAGTTTTGAAAAACAGGGAACCAGCGTTCATTCCACTAGAAAACTTGACTACCACCATCGCTCTGTGGTGCTTCTGCATTTTTAATTATTACCAGAAGACGCATTTAAGCGCAATCTTTTTCTGTCTTAAAAAACAGTGCGTTTGACATCGTCATAATGGGTAAAACTAGTGGGAGAAATTCATGCGAGTAATATCTATATCCGTTATATATTTCGCTTTCGGTAACCGCTCCTATTTGAGTACATCGTTCATCAACCCATAAACGTCAAAATGTTTCTTGGTGAAATTCTCGACTACCGGTCTCGTATAGTCTACCATATTGCCCATATTAGTAAAAGGTGCTGTCAATGCCAACGGACTGTAAAGGGTCCCCAAAAATCCTCTCAGTAAGGGGAAGGAAGAAAAGCATTTGTCACGACTCCAACTCTAATTGTCCAACAAACTCAATGGTGTCTCACGCTTCGGTGTGTTGAGTACGTTTTCAAGGTGACAATGTATGGCATCTGTCGAACATTTAAAAAGAAAAAGACCCTGCAAGGGTGATCTACGTATTTAGTCAATGCAAAAATCCAAAGAAATGTGTCAGACACAAAAAGAGTTTGCGAAAAATGGTGTCGCCTGGAAAAGAAAAAAAAAGCAGATTAAGAAAATAAAATATTAGGAGCATTAATGGGTAATGGTGAAGGAAAAGGGAAAAAAGCGCAGTGCAAAAAATACAGCAAAAAAATGCACCAGAAAAATAAAAAAAGACAAGAGGAGAAAAGAAAATTGAAGGAAAAAAGATAAAGAGTATACAGAGAGAAACAAAAAAGAAAAATTGAAAAAAAAGGTTGACAGAAGAATTGAGAAGAATTTTTTCACATAGTTAAGGAATTATAGAGGCAAAAGCGAAATATAATAAAGAAAAAGAGATAAGCTTAATAAAGGAATGTAAAGGCGGAGGAGAAAAAGGACAACTGGTCATGGAAATACTTCCACAATTGGGCACCACATTGTCGATGTGTCTTTATTTGCTTGGTCGTATTCAATTATTCAACCATTTTTTGCCTCATTTTTCAACTTATATATATGCTCTTTCTAGTATACGATGTCTCTAATGGCGAATTTTTATTTGCTGCGATATATAGCCCCAATTATTCCTAGTTTTTTGCTCTCTTTTCATTTTCTTTCTGTATTTGTACATCTTTGGATCCTTCCCGATTTTTGCTTTTGCCTATCGTTTTCGCCCTCTTTACCGTGGCTAAGCTCTTGTCCTGCGTTTTTTCTTCACCTTTCAATTTTCCTTGAGTTATGCTTCTGTTTCAGGGAGTTTTTTTACCAAAAGACTGGTTCCTATCTTATTAAAATATCGTTCGCCCTCTCTCCTTTGCTGGGTTCACATTTTTTGGCATTCTCTACATGTAAACTGTTCTTCCTTATCACACCCCAGTTCCTACGACTGCGTCTGTAATTTCGGCAGCGAAATCTACGATTTGCAAGTGGCCTCGCCGATGTCCGGGTTTCAATCATGAAGTCCCTGCCACACTAAACCTCCATAATCGTTATCCTCGTTGTCTCAGTGGCCTAAGCCTAGATTGCGTCGGTGAAATCGTTATGCATTTACAGAAACTGTGACTCAGCTCTCGTTTCATCACTGCCTATTCCGGGAGAGAGACAAGTTTCATCCCAAAATAAAACCCAGATCTGGCTCCATGTTGAGCTTTTGCTATTCAAATTCGGCCGCTTAAGACCTGATTTGCAACCAGTCCTGCTAACTAAAAAGAGTCGAAAGATTTTCTGCAGCAATTCCCTATCAAATTAGAAATCTTCTTCAGCACAGGCCAGGATTTAGTGCCAGCAGATACATCACAAGCAGCCATCAACATGGACATGAGTAGCTCATGTTGGGACGCCTCGGTCTCTCACGTCGCTTTTGGCCGAGGTTTCGTCTAATGGCTTCTCTTCACTCACTGCAGAGATGCGTTTTTCAAAGAATTTGTCGAAAGCGAGGCAGTTTAGCGAACTAGTGAGATAAGTCTATGGTTAGCGTTGCCTTTTCCACTATTTTCAAGGGGACGAAGGTAATCATCCTGGCTCAGGTTGTGCAATATACCCGCTACTTTGGATTTCAAAGTAGAGTTATGTGCAAAATACCTTCCACCCCATATTTGTTGTGGATTTGCGACGTCTATCTGTTTATATTACAGTGAATATATATTTGAAAGGGGTATTTAAGCACCATGACTAAAGTGAATGAACTTTAAGCGCGTTACTAATAAAAAAAACATAGAGGTTAATGAACGAGGAGTGTAATCATGCAGCGATGGTTTTCCCCCCAAGACTATTTGTTTTGCAGACAACAATAGGAAATGAGTTTTCTAGACCTGCAATTTGAATTAGGGGAACAATGAAGTGGGAAAGTAGTAAAGCTAGGAAAATTTGTCATGATTTCACTTTCACTGACAAGAGAAAATTGAAATCATTTATAATTATTCAAAAATTCACAGCGGTGGCATTGATATAAGGTCCTATTGGCACACCTTCAGGTGAAAATAAACAATTTCAGCTAGAACACTTTGAAGGCTAGGTGGACGATTGGAAGGAAGCCGGATGGACGAATAGATGCATGAATAAATGGATACCGGATAAATGCATATGGATAAGAAAAAGGAGAGACTGAAGAATTTAGATGGGTTCATAAAATATTCTGCCTATAAAATACATAAACGGCTTCTTACTAGACCTAAATCATTTGCGATTGTCTTTAAAAGACACCAGTTTTTCTTCGAAATCAAACATTGCAGCCATGGATTTCTTCCCTCGTATCTCCGGCGTAGCTTTGCATCCGAACCGTAGACTTTAGATTCCATGAGACCATGTGATTTTATCACTTTAAGAAAAGGTAAAAATGGAATTTTTTTCTCTTAGCCCTGCGTATTGGGCCACCGGTAGCAAGTTATTTAAGGCTGTCGCCCATGGGTCTAATGAACAACCACAAAGCACGATGATTTGACCCTATAACTTGACTAGCCGCTCTGACGACTTAACAAATTAACTCGCACATGCTGATTTATTACTATCCACAGTACGGTTAGGAAACCATATGCATTAACTCCTCCCTGTCATAAAATGCAAAATCTGCGTAGTTACTCTCACACTAAATGTCGCATCCATACACCGCCATGGCGCGGTTATTTCGGAATCGCAAATGGTGTCTGCCATCATCATTGTAGATTGGTAATGGTAGTGGTTCGTTTACTCCAAGGTGGATTTCATTATAATCCGATATTACTGGCCAGCGTAGCTGTCAAATATTGGTGGCCCCTCTGTTGTACGCCCCCATAATATCACCCTTACACACAATGACCTTCTACCGGTGTAGCAAAACAGTCAGAAAAATGGTAGGTCTTCTTACTGCTAAGCTGGTATAGTGGCATTTAAGCTGAACCTTAAGGTGATAAGCTGTCTATTAAAGCCAAACCAGGACACTAGCATTCGCAAGAAGAAAAGACGCCAATAGTGAGATGAGTGGACACTCGAAGGAGTGTAAACATCTCCTACTTTTGATACAGCCTCCCTTCCACCCATACACGCCTCTCAGCATTCAACAAATACGTGAAATGTTTGTATGTGCGCAGACGTCAGTAGAAATGAACTAATAGAGGTCTGCCTGTTCCACTGTTCATTTTGGCATCTTTAATCCTAGCTCTGCCGGTAGTTGTGGAGAAGTCAGTTGAATCGTCCAAGAGTTGGAGATATTAGATGTCAAATGTGTGGCCACAGTCTCGTCTCCACAACGGAGAACAAAAGACCTCCTGCAGTCAACTGTAAACTGTGTAGGAGTGACTTGGCGGTGACACAAAATAAAGGAGGCGCCGGCTTTTGATAACTACACAAGCTATTAGTGTCTATTTATGGTGAAACCTGATTTGAAGGATACGAATTTAATCCTTCAGTGTCCACTCTTAATTCCAATCTTCCATGATGATGGAGTGAGGCATTTATGGCTGCCAACTAGCCGCGTCATGGTAATGCTGCGCTGTACTTCCTTTCGTTAATATAAAAGGGATGGTAGACGGTTTGCCTTTTACGAATTCTGTAGGCAGTGATCAAATAGACACATGTAGTGCTCTAGCTTCTTTCGGCTCTTGAGCGGCCAGCCAGCCCTGTTAATAGGGCAAATTAATGTTTTTGAGTGATAATGGGATCTTAACGTGATAGACGTAGTATAAGTGACCCATTTTTAGAGCCATGATATAGAATCCTATTAATATATCTTCGTGAGGCAATACAA